ATCAGAAACACCTCTGGAATTCATTTTTCATAACATGACAAAAATCAATAGATGATGTGAACCATTTTGAGATCAATGGATCAAATTTCGTTTTACCGGAAGCCATAAATGGCTTATCAAGATAATCTGAAATTTGTATGATTGTAGTTGACTGTCATAATATATACCCATTTTACTAAGTAGTATGTTAAACGCATCATGATAGAGTACAGCTACGTTTCTCAAACATAATTAATTATCAAAGGTGACAAAAATCAGGTGATGTATATCATTTTGTGGAATCGGAAGCAAATTTCCGAATTTTAAGTATGGTCAGGGAGTATTGTGTACGTTGAGGAGAAAAATTTTACTAGCAAAAATTAGACTGGATTTCAGCTTTTTACAATACTGAACTGGTTCTGAATAAATGCAATTACGATTAATCGCATTGTTGCCTACCAAAATGTCGTGTACTAAGATTTCGGAACAGTGGCGTCCCGAATATCTAAGAGTTGTCAAATATTTCATCGTTATATGTGTGCTGTTATCTTATCATTATTTCATTCATTTCTATCTCTCAAAATATGCCCCCAAAATCTTCTGACATTTTTTTCCATTATCGGTTTAATTTCGAATCTTAATTTCCATAGCATTTTTTTTTAAAACCTTCTGTGCTGTCTTCAATTCGATTAGCTCTTGGCTGCAACGATGTCGATTAATTCATCAATGAATCAAAATGACCTTATATTGTTTGAAAAGTGACATAAAAATAGGGACGGACTAACTGCTGGTCAATATTACATCTGATACACGTAAACTATCGTAACATCTGATATTAATCTGTAACCATTTTTCCGGTTACAGCACTCTTCTCTCTCTCTCTCTCTCTCTCTCTCCATTCCAAACTGCAAATCCATCGCACACAACGTTATTCACATATCTTACGATTTTCTGAAGCACCTTAATTGTTGCATTACTTTTTGTTACGTCACCCCCAGTCCAGATTATCCCTAATCTAAATCAACCCCTGATCCCATAAGGAGAGTTGTCAACCTCCTCCTACTTTGATATTTTCTCCAGAAAGGCATCTCAAGGCTGCCATAGGATTTGAGACGGCGGACTTCGGGTATGTTTTAAAAAATCATGGTCTTGATGAAGTCGGAAAGATTTATTAAACATTGTAAGCGTTATTTTTTGATTTCAAAATGAAAAAAACTGTCAGTAATTTGTGTAATTCAAATCATTCTACATTTATATGCTTCTATTGAAATGATTATGATAGATATCATAATCTGAGAATTATCAAACCACCTTTCTCCACAATTCGAACAAACTGAACAAGTCTTGGAAGGTAACAAAGTTTCCGAAATTAAAATCCACATGAAATGACAGTTACATAAGTAAAATATATATTTTATATAACATGAAAAAAACCATATTGAAGCGTTATTCATTAATCATTAGTCAGAGATGAATCTTCATTATAATATCTTTGTTTTGTATAACTATCGATCTCTTAATTTAAAATAAGCAATTAGACTCTTTCGTTCTCACTATACTAATTATTCCATTGAAAAAGCCAATGTGACATTTAAATTTTCATTTTGTGGAAAGTTTACATAATGAATTTTGTAATGAACAAATGATAAAAAGCATAATGAACAAATTGAAGAACTACCAAATAAAATACAGTAATTAATCGCACTTTCACTTTACCGTGCCAATTTTTTATAATGTCCTGCTCGAAGTTTACGCATCCGTATCGAATAGCCGAAGATTAATTGTCCCTCAGTTGCATATGGTCGTGTTTTCTTGCCCGCGCAGTAAATAACTGTGGATGAGGTCAGTCAGTTTAGGATGTGTTGGCATAGGGTAGGTGGTTGTGTCGTTGGTGGTGCTGGTGTAGGTTGTGATATGTAGTTATTGTTGTATGTTGTACGTTTTCTCTTCCAGTGATTGCGTGCATGTATGATTGCATATTATCGATGCGTGCGTTTACTATGCATTACGGGCTTCTGCGAGATATGTATGGATATGATAATGAATGTGAAAGATGTGTGTCTTTGAGTATCTAAATCTGAATATATATTGCTCACTTCACGCATAAGCATGTTCGCGTGTGCGAAGAGGTCGTGTGCAAGTTACGTTTATCTGTCTTACTGTATATGTTATACCTATATAGGCTTGCGCGTGATGTTTATGCCGGAGTGTGCTGTGGCATGAAGATTGTTGTAAATCTGTATATGCGCCCATATAGGTATGTATACTTCTGCAGATGTGCATATGTATGTATGTTTGTGCGTACATGCACACATGTTTTGGGTTCCTCTACAGATATCGACGGAGACATAGGTGTTTACTTGTGTAGGTTGTTCTCTTCATTGAAAGCGTTTATGTCTGTGTCTATGTCTGTACGTGTGCTTGTCTGCGTTTGTCTATGAGCAGTTGTATTTATTATGAGTGTGTGTACCTTTGTGAATGTCTGTGTATATGTGTTTGTATGTCTCTGTATGTTATGTAAGTATATGCCTGTGTTCAATCATAAATGGTGTAATGTTGATTAAAATTTCTCGATTGTGTGACATCGGAATTTCGACTAGTCAGATGATAGTGTACAGAATTCGTTATCACATCTCATGAAATTTGGAATTCGGGGCAGCTGATCATTGCATTCATCCATTTCTTTTCAGCTATTTGCAGGAAGTGGTTTAATCTCTTTTCATACTAAACGCGAATTTTTTCGTTTGGTTCGTCAATTCTGACATGACTGATGCCAATCAACAGTATGTGTTTCCCATATTCTTTGTGAAGAAATGTTTTGTAATGATTAGTTTGGGGTTGACTTTTTAGTACTAAATTACGTACCAATATATGCGAACAGGGTGGGTTTATTAAAATTATTTCATATGCTGATATTAGTAAAATTTACAGGCAAAAACATGTAAACGACAGTGAAGTCGCTGGCGCCCCTGCGCCTATTCAGGCGCCTTTGGATTCTGATGGTCTTATTGAGGTATAACTTATAGGGTTATTTATGATAGTGATATGTCACTAATAAGAGTGAATCATAGCGTTTACAATTCCTTAATAATTCGAAATGAGTGCTTTAATTATAGAGTAATTGGGATTTTGTATGCGAAAACTTCGACGAAATGGGTTTAAAAGAAAATCTTCTTCGTGGCATTTATGCATTTGGTTTCGAGAAACCGTCCGCTATTCAGCAACGTGCCATTATTCCGTGCACCAAAAGTGAGTCAGGAGACGAAAAGCATGAAATTAATAAATTGAATGATGACTTAAAATTGGAGATTACTTGTACTTAGGACTTTATTTAGGTTTATTTTTAAGCAACAATTAAGTTCTTTGCTCTTCCCAACTCGTCTCCAGGTAAGACTGAGGAAACTAAAAAGGAGGGAGAAATTGTTCGGAAGAATCCACATTGCAAGTGTATGGCTCCTGACTTTATTTTCTCTAGTGTTTTTCATCGAACGTACTATGCCATGTAGTCTTTCCCCAATTTGTGTACTACGCACTTATTTTCAATGTTTATTTCGTTAATTATCGAGTAGTTTATCTGGTATCTAAAACCCATCGGTTTATTTCATCTAATCGGCATGAGGGTGGAAGTGGAATCACCGGCAAAGAAATTTTTCGATGTTCACAGAGCTCCATGTAAATTTCGATGGTTTCGTTCATCATTTCTTTAAGGAAACCACCTGGTTAAAGTCTTTTGTGGATTTTGTGTGATTCTCGAACACTGTATAGAAAAATTTATGGATTGTAATACTTTGATATGTTTTGTTTTCCTTTTAATTCTTCCGTTGCAGAGCGTGACGTCATTGCTCAAGCGCAATCTGGAACTGGCAAAACAGCTACCTTTTCTATAGCAGTTCTCCAGAACATTGATGAAACTATTCCAGAAGTTCAAGCTCTTGTGATGGCACCTACGCGTGAGCTTGCACAGCAGGTATATTTTTTGTCTTCATTAATTGTCATTTTAACTGGCGAAGAAGGAAGAGTTGCAAGTTAGAGGAGAAATAACAGGGTTTTGTAGATGGATATGACTTAGAGATAATTTAGTGATAGTGATGAGGTTGGCCTTAGGTTTGCAAAACGAAAGTGGACATGTTGGTCACAAGTTGTTGCAGTAAATTGTTGAATTGTTAACAATTTATTGAGGAAGGGATTGCATCTTTAATAGTTAAGAAAAAGCAGTAAGGGATCGTCATAAAAGTTTATAAAACCATGAATTTGGAGTGAAATTTGTATTGTTGATTGTACGACAACTTGTTCGAGCAATGATGATATAACTTGCCCTCACGGACTAGAAAATGGCGATGTTTAGTAGCTGAGCTCGAAAACCTAAAACTTGAGTCGCTGCAAGGAGAAGTGCATCATTGTTGAAAGTTTTGCACACACAATGCTTTGTTCACGTTGGATCATTTCTGATCATAAGTGAAGAGAATTTGCTTGTTAACGTCATGTAGTGAAGGGAATTTGCTTATTAGCGTTTTCCATGGGACAAACTTCTCATCAGTTATTAATTAGGGAAAGTAAAATGAAATTATAACTTCTTTTATTCAATCATTGTGTTGTCTTCTCTATACCAGTAATTTAGATACAAAAAGTAATGCTGTCGTTGGGCGAATATCTTGGTGTAAAATGTCACGCATCAATCGGAGGAACAAATGTTCGCGATGATCAACGCAAATTGGAGTCTGGTGTTCATGTTGTAGTTGGAACACCCGGCCGCGTTAATGATATGATCACACGCCAATCTCTTCGTAAGTTGTTGAACTTATTTTTCCAGTCAACTCTGCTGTTGAATGAAATGGAGATTTAATAAGCTCTCTCGGTAAATTTCGAAGAATTGAATTTAGGGAATTACGTATTGCGAAATGTTTCAGAAACCAATAATATCAAAATGTTCGTACTGGATGAAGCAGACGAAATGCTATCTCGTGGATTCAAGGAGCAGATTTATGACGTCTTCAAATGTATGCCGAATGATGTTCAGGTATCTGTGATGACATTAACATTTATATTTGTTTTAGGATCTTTGTTCAGACAATTTAGGAGCGACACAACTTTTTTTTAGGTAGTGCTCCTTTCGGCTACGATGCCATCGGAAGTTCTAGAAGTAACAAATCGTTTCATGAACGATCCTATACGCATCCTGGTGAAGAGAGAAGAGCTTACCCTTGAAGGCATCAGGCAGTTCTACATAAACGTCGAAAAAGAAGCACGGCTGTTTTTATCGATTTTCCTATTTTGTTCTATTTGAAAAAAAAAAATTATTGTTATGTAAGAGAATAAAGGCGGGGCATGTTACTTGATTTTCTTAGAGCTGTGCACATGCACATATATGTAGGTACGCATAATTTAACCTAGTTTCCACGGGAAAAGTAGCATCAACTTGCAAAGACGCATGTAATGAGAAATGATTAGCACTAAAAACGAATATGGATTTGCGCAAGTCTGTTATTAATTATAGGGCAAAAGACTTTTCGCAGTCAATCAGTTTTAGAATGTTTTGAAAATTGTTTCCAATGCAACAGTCTTTATTTGAAACGCAAAGTATTCCAGGAATGGAAATTCGAGACGCTATGTGATTTATATTCTACAGTTAATGTAACTCAGGCAGTCATCTTCTGTAATACCCGTAGGAAGGTGGATTACCTTGCAGCGCAAATGAGCAAAGAAAAGTACACTGTTTCCTGCATGGTGAGTTTGTTTTTTTTTTTTCAACGGTCATATTTTGGCGTTGATCCTACTATTGATTTTTTCTAATGTGGTTGACCCGTCTTATTATTGATATTTTACTTATCCAAAGCGAGATAATGTTCAGCATGGTGAAATGGAACAAAGTGAGCGTGACGTAATTATGCGCGAATTCCGATCAGGCTCATCCCGTGTTCTTATTACTACTGATTTGTTGGCGCGTGGAATTGATGTTCAGCAAGTTTCATTGGTCATCAATTATGACCTCCCAAGCAATCGTGAGAACTACATCCATCGGTTAGTCGTGGAGATCATATGTGCAGTTTTGCTTAGTAAATTTGGGATTCTTCTGTGTTTGAAAAAAATTTAATGGTGTAGTACTGGTAATCTGAATATTTTTTTATGTCACGGAAATTTTGTCAGTTATCTGGTACTGTTATTTCTTAATAAATGCGGCATCCGTCGTCGTTTTTACTTCAAATTCTACTGCTTGATGTTGTCGCAGAATTTTAAACTGGTATTAAAAGGAAGGGGTAGATAGTGAAGTGGAGGTTAAAAAAGGAAAATGTAATCGACTTAGAGGGAAGGATAGCAGGAGATGTCAAGCATTCAGTGACCTGACAACTCTTTCAGAATCGGACGGTCGGGACGTTTCGGGCGAAAGGGTGTAGCAATAAATTTCATAACGGAAGCCGACATGCGAATGATGAAGGATATCGAGAGTTTTTACAATACACAAATTGAAGAAATGCCGATGGACATTGCAAATTTGCTTTAAAGATGATGATAATGATATGATGTTATTTGTGCTGTTACAATATTAGTATTCTATTGCTGATTGCGATTGTTGTAATTCATTGAGCTCGGGCTGGGTATGTTTTTATTGTTAACTAGGCTGTTAAGAACTCTAGTTTTCCCTCAAATTATTTTTGAACAACTACCAAGGATGTTTTAATATCTTTGTTATCTTATGTCTGCGTAACATTTTTTTTTGATTGCTGTTTTTTTTTTTCATGCTAAAGATCAGGAGTGCTTTTTCAAAACACCCTAGATTAACGTGTTTGTGTTTTTAGGAATTGATAAGTATTGTTTTTAAATTGTTTTCATAAAGGGAGGTAAGGTGTCATATTCCTCCATTGTTCTTGTTTTTTATTTCTTTTTCATTTTTGACCGTTTCGTTGGGTTTAACGATTATTCAATTATTGAATTAACTATATCGTTTGCCAATCCTGTACTGCGCTGTTGATGTTTTTTTAAGTACAATTTTTGTTTTTAATTCATAGCTGAGTAGCATGAAGAGCTGTAAACAAATTGTGAGTTCAAGGTAGGTCGGTAAGTTGGAAAAAACGTTTAGTTTATGCAATTGGTCTTGCCTTCAGTCGAGAAGATGAGTAAAGGTGGAAGGTGTAGATGATGTTTATTTGAGTCTTATTGCTTCGGTGAAATAGTTAGTTGCTTTTAGGGATAGTGGAATCCACAAGAAATCGAAATTTACTGCATTCCCAAAAACTGGGTTGAGGAGTATTTTCGTTGCGTAATCGTTGTGTTGCATAGGAATGCTTTTGGTATGAAAACAATTTATCCATGGAGGGGAATCATTACGACCATTCAGATATATGTAATTCAAATACTTAGGACATCCAGTGAAGTTGTAGGGAATTTGAATTACTCAATTCTGATATAAAATTTTCTTGAAAGTTGAAAGCAGGAGAGACTTCCTGTTATTGGCTACGTTATTCTCAGGGTAGTCTGAATACATCGACATGACCGTGTCTGTTGTATGTACGGTTTTCATAACACTTAATTAGCTCGTTTAGACTTGGTAAAGATGGTCCACTATGTTCAATATAATAACTTCGAATTTCATATTCTTTTTGTTTTGTGTCACTGAAAATTTCAAATATGACATTCATAGGCGTATTGTTTGTTTGCGAGCAAGAATTGATCAATGGAAATTTTCATGATTTCATGTTCGGAAAGGCCGAAGGTGCTGATGAAAATCTATTGCATCGTGGATTTAAGCATGAAATTAGTTCAAAAAGAGGGTGCTTGATGTTAGTACCAGACAATCATGTCATTCTAAACAATCTAAATTTTTTGACTAAACTCGGGAAACAGAGTTAGTTTCAATGAAGTTAATTGATTGAGCTAAAAGTATCTTGCTATACTGGGGGGAGATAATTTCGACGATTTAAGTTGAATGAACAAGTGATAAATGATCCCATACTTGTTTTCGATCACTTCACCCATTGTCCGGACAAGCCAATGGAAGTAATCACCAATCGATGACCGATATACCACCGTAAGTGGAAGACGATTGACATCATCAAAATTTATCTAAAATTCAATTCAATTCAATTCATTGACTAAAATTATTTCTCCTCTTTCAATTAACTGTTTTACCCTTGTTGTAGAAATATAGTTAAATCTTGGAGGAAGTTTGAAACGTTAATTTGAGGAATGCCTAACTTGAAAAAATTTTTTGAATTATTTGTAATTATATTCAAATTACTTGAAAACAATTTATAGACAAATAAATGTTGATAGGAAAATTGGAAATTTTTGTGATCGAATGGATTCAACCTTTTTTCTGTCCAATTATTATTTATTGTTTAAATTTAATTAGCTTAATTTTGAAACGTTGAAAAGTTTCCAGCTTTACATTATTCTAGCTTCATAAATTTAAATTATACTTGCTTAAAGAAATTGAACGATTAATTGGTTATGTAATTACCGTGTTCGGTATTTGTTATAATTATTTAAACTACATCTTAGATAAAACTTAACTTTGGTCTTGTTATGGTGAATCTGTGGTATCATCTAGACTATCAACATTTTATTTTCTAAATTATCTTGAATTTCAACGGGTGAGAAAAACCAACTATTGCTTCAATTTCTTATAAGTGGAAACAAAAACATATAGTACTGAAATTTAGAATATTTTCATTATTTTCTCTTGAATTAATAATGTTATTTCTGATAAGCTACTACTGATAGTGAATTGAAATTTAAAAATATACAGGTAATCGAAGGTATGAAATTAAGCTAACTTTGAAATTAAAATAATTTTAACTAAAACACTAACAATTGTAATCATTTTTTTTTAGCACAAATTTTTAATTATAGGTTAATATTTTTGAGTGAGAAAATTATAGTAAACTAAAATTATAAAGAATTGAAATAATATTTGTTAATTAAAATTATTCAGTCGATAAAATTTTGATTTAATTTATATGCATTACTATAATTTATATGGTAATAAATGAAATAATTTAAATTATCTATTTAAATAATTCGAATTATATATTTTATAAAATGAATGATGAAATAGCTTTAACCGCATATCTCATATTCAAATAACAAAATAATTTGGACTTTGAACTATCCTATCTTATATTTTAATTAATGTTCTCTTATTTTATATTCAGATAATTTAAATTTGAAATTTGTTTATGCAAATTATTTTAGCTAAAATTAATGGATATATTTGATAAATGAATATGGGTAAATTTTTAGTAAGCTAAAATAGCAAATTTTTTCGTATGGTAAAATAATTATTTTAAAATTTAAACAATTATGCTACTGTTAAATGATAATAGTTAAATTTAAATTGTACTATAATAATGGAAATGATTAAAATGTAATAATCGATTACCGATGTATCCCATTGATGATACAATCGAAAATCTGTCAAATAATGAACACATGTTTCAGCTTCATATTTTGTACAAACACCGATATAGCGCCATTTGGTGAATTCATTTAGCGTTGGTGGTACAACTCGTGGTCGTTTAGCTTAATACATTTCTGACTTAATACATAATTAATATATATTTAATACATATTTAACTAATTAACATAATTAATACATATTTAACTTAACACATAATTGAATACAATAGAGAAATTTTATTAATGCCGATTTAATATAAACAATTAATGTAGCTTTTGTAAGTCTGATAAGATGACTATTTTGATTTGCAAGATTTGATTTTATACGCATTCATGCAAAATGGAGTAATAATGATAAAAAGGAATAGTTATAT